AAAAAAAAAAAAAAAAAAAAAAACCAAGGGGTTTATTGGTGTTGAAGTGGAGCAAGAGACGAGTGCACCCCCTCCTAAAAAAAATCCTGGGCCCGCCCCTGTAGGGAAACCAATTGCATTAGAGCGGTTTCCACTTGACTGTCGTAAAACCAAAACCAAAGTAAATACACTAGCCAACCAAAGGACATAGTAAAACCAAAACCAAAACCAAAACCAATCCCAATTCGACAGTCAAGTGAAAACCGCTCTATCCACTGAATGGAGATTTATCCAGTAGATAGCGTTACCCAACTTTTGAACAACTGGGGCACGGAGAATTATGGGGATTGAGGTGGGTGTTATCTGCAGAGGTCATATTCTTCACCAACTTGAAAGAAAAAAGAGTTCTTAACAGAACCATCAACCATCAAGGCCTGCATTCTTACATGTATAATAAGCAGTGATTTTATACTACAACTTCTCTATATTTTGTCCGATTATTTGTAATATATCTATAAAACCCCTTTCAATACATTTAAATTGAATTCAAAGAGAAAGCTGAGCTGACAGAAATTTTAACTACTTCATATAGTACTGTAACTCACTGCTCATTACATTATGCAAAAACTGGGACATGGACAATCTCATACTCACCATCTTATCTTCACCAGTACACACGAGTCACTTCTTTTCAGTTAATTAATAAGTAAAGAAATTGTCATTTTTTCTACAAGTGACATGAAGCTGCCCTCTGAATTGCTGTGTAATAATTGAACTTAGCCTTGAGCAACTTATATCAGACAAGTTGAAGCCCCCCTGCTCAGGCTTTTTGTAATGGAAACTCAAAGGTACTAAGATATAGTGGCCTCCATCTTGAAAGAAAAAAAAAGACTCCTCTATTTTTAACCCATCATAAACCTCTCCCTTAAAATCAGTTCACCCCAACTCTCTGACTGTTAGTTTCAATGTCCAAGATGGAGGGAGAGCATCCGGCCCAAAAAAAGTATCATCGTTCACCCTGCAAAATAGAGATAGGTAAACCCCTGGTAACCACAGTTTTTTCAAAGAAACAATAATGAGCCTGACTTTTCTGTCATTTGCTTCACCAACAGAAATATTTCAGGTAGTTAGCCCTTTAACTTGAAAACTTCTACAGCATCACAAGGTTGTTTTGCAAGCTGCTTTATGATTCTTCCAGTCGGCTTTTTGGCATTCTCTGAAAATTGTGAAAAGAATACAAGTATTTAATGAAAATAAATGATTAGTGACTAAGGGGTTTTATAGGGTAGGATAGACCTACACGTATGCAAGTCGAAAGGTGTTATTCAGCTTAATGTAATACATATTATGGCAACGACATTATTGGTATGGTTGAACCCCGCTTTACAGACACCTGCTTAATATGGACACCATAATTATTATTACAGACTCTTTGCCTTGTCCCTAGCCTTTAAATTTTCTCTAACTTCAACCTGCTTAATACGGACACCGCATTAGTATGGACACTTTCTATGGCCCCCTCAGTGTTGGTATTAAGAGGGTTTGACGGTATCTCATTCCCACCACTAGAGATTCTTTAATAAAAGATTACAAAGATTTGTCAGTTTGAGCATCATGCCCCTTTTTGTGAGGAAATGACATGTAATACAACTGTACAACTGTACTTACTTGCTGCAATATTTTTGCTCCCTACATCGACTACAGGACTTCAGCTCACTTTCTTTGACCTTCCGAATGCAAGACCTGTTGCCACACCCAGTTGGTTTCTGTACATTGACAAATAGTTGATAAACAGGAGTCATGAGATCTTTCATTGGCAGGGAAACTGGTTCAAAAAAAGGAAGTCTCTTTTCTTCTGCATCCTGGCCTTGTTCATAATATTTCCTGAATTCAGCTAGTTTTTGCTCAAGTAAAGAAATTTGTGCCAAATAATAGTAAGCATGTGGGTATGGTTTGTGGCAATAAGGGGCCTCTTCCACATACTCATTTAACACCTTAACAGCCATTTCTTTCAGTTGCTGAGTTGTCCAAGAATCATATTTTGGAATCTTTCTCTCACTCATTGTTTGCTTGGGGAACTCTTCCCTGGATTTTACCACCTGCCTCAACTCCTCACTAACCGGTAATCTAGAAATATACAGCAACAGTAATGTATAGCCGAGTCCTCTTTTGGACTCGTAATGTGCTGGGCAGTACTGAAGGGAATTCTCGTAAGCCTCGGCTGCATCTGCATTGACCCCTCCAGCAGTAAAGATTGCTGCCAAGAAGTAATACAAAAGATGAAGCCAGCTACTATAGTTCTCATTGACATTGAAGGGTTCTTGTGAGGGAACACCATCTGGCTCAGCATTCTTGATAAAATGAATTAAGTTATCTATACACATGATTTTCTTCATGTCCCCAATAGATCCCTGCA